TTAAATGGTGGTATATAAGTAAGGTGATGTTGCTGTGTGTTGACCGCTCCTGACAAAGTCAATCAGTGACTAAACACATAGGGCAGAGCCACACACGATGACCTCAACTTGTATTGGAGAAAGAGGTACACACAAACATAAGCTGTCATATCGTAAGTGTTGGGTGTGGCAATGCTGCTGTGAGTGTTTTTATGTCTTTTTGCATAATGCTATTATCAATAAAAGGTGTTACCCTATGAGCTGCTTCTGTTTATGTCTGATTTTATTGTACATTAAATTATATGCCCCAGAGCATGTTACCAGAGGTACTAGAAGGAGGAGTGGACTAGAGGTGGCCATACACTGTACAACTCTCGCAAGACTTTTGTCTTGCGATGGTTGTAAAGTAATTAAAAAAACGTACAATCTGCCCATCTTGGACAGACAGATCGTACTTGCGATCATCGCAAGCCCGCCCCGCTGAGGGGCGTGCTTCCGATGAATGCAATGCTGAGCGGGCATTGTGCACGTGCGCACACCGGCCCGTTCGGCAGTTGTCGAAAAAGCACGCCACTAACCCGCCGAGAGTCATACGATTCTCGGCGGTTTTTCCAGCCTGCTTGTTCAACGGAAAACGTGCGATCGTACAGTAGAAACGGTTGCACGCCTTCCATACGCTTTGCGATTGTACGATTGTAGGATTTCCCGCGATTATCGTATGATAATCGTACAGTGTATGGGCACCTGTAGGCTTTTTGATCATGTTATTTAGTTAACTGGTCACATCAGTCTGGTGAGTATGTTTCTATTCTGGAGACCTCTGGTGGCAGAAGAAACTGTTTGTCTAGAAATTACCTGATGCTGCTTTTCACTGGACTATAGATTGAAAATCATGCTTTTTTTCCTTGAGATTTCTCCAGAGCATTTTTGTATGAAATAATTGAATAAACATTCTGCACTCTACTGAAATTTTGTGTTCACATGTTTGCATTTGACTTTTTTTATTTATTAGTACTATTTAAGCACAATATTGTCTTTGAGTTGCACTGAACACTGCTTTATAAGTTATATACATTTGTGTAGGCATTTGTGATCAGCTGGAGGAAGATTACCCCATCTCTTCCTAGGCATTAGTGATCAGTGGAATAACTCCCATCTGCTTTTCCAGACATTGGTAGTCAATGAAAGGACCCCCCCCTTTCCCAGGAATTGGTGGATGACTTACTTCTAGGAGTTTGTTGTCAGTGAAAGATGTGTAGGAGAAGGGTGTGAAGGTTATGACAGTGAACAATATCTGCAGGAGGGAGGAGGGTATAGCAGTGACCAGTATGAAAATAGAAAAGTGAAGAGGGTCTGACAAAGAAGTATCTGCAGAAAAGAAAGGCTTAGGGTTTCAAAGCAGCTAGTATCTCCAAGGAGGTATATGGAGGTTATGGCTGCAGCCAACATGTGCAGTAGAGGAGTGCAAAGGGTATCTGCCGGCCAGTATATGGAGGAGAGGACTGCTGCAGTATGTACAGAGTGCAGTGAGTATGATAGCTGGCAGTATGTGCTGGGGAGTCAGATAGCGGTATGTCTAGGATAGGAGTGTTAGAAAGTATGACATTAGGCAATATGTACAAAATAGAACATGCACTGGTGGTCAATGGCTGGCTGGAACTATAAACTCCCACCAGCAGTGTTTTTGAGTGGAACAACAGCATACTGATTTGTATTACTTACATTCAGAGTTGTAATGGTGCTGTAGTGCAAATCTAGTCTATGCTAGTTTTCTATATGCATGCTTTTATCTGATATATACAGGAAGTTTTCCCTGTATGCTGTATTCTAATATAATGTCCTTCTAAGCAAGTAAAACTTTATTTCAGCATTCCTTAATATACAAGTGCTTCATCTAAACACATAACCAACAGCTGATGGGCCCAGGCACTAAACAGAATACTGTAAGTTCCCTACCAATATTGTTGGTTAATGGATGGAACTATAATCCCCCCCAGGATTGGAGGTCACTGGCTGGAACAATACCCCTTCCAGCATTGGTGGTCAGTGGCTAAAACTATAACCCCCTCCCCATTCCAACTGTGTAAAGTGAGCACTACACACATTATGGATACCCTCCAAACCCAGAGAACATACAGGCCCCCACCCTGCAAAAACAGGATTTGGCAGGGATGTCACAGTGTGATTCTCAAAGCATGCTGCCTGGGAAATATCTGCATTCAATGTCTGCATTGGTGGAACCCCCCAGACTAGTGAGGCCTAGTTTGCATCAGCCAGCAGTTTTAGATGAAAGAATTCCACAAAGAAAATGGTCTTGACTTTAGCAGAGTTGAGAAAGATACCAATCCTCTTTAGGACACAAGCAAAAACCATGCTGGTTATAGGAGGGTTTAAAAAAATGTAGGGCCGACCTACAGTTTTTTGTCTTCTCGTGTCAAATACTAATGTAGGTGGTAGTATAACCAAGAATTCTCAGGATTCTTTGTCCTTTAACAATAGCGACAATAGCGAACCAGGTCCTTATTTCTTGTACACTGGGCAAACAACTGGCACTCTGATAGTTTTGGGGTGCAGCCACCAAAGGGAGCTTTTCCCTTTGTTATTTTTTGTACACCTAGCATCCTATTCCTGTAAATGGCAGCATGAACAGCTTGTTTCTGGCCGATCTAGTAACAGCAGTGTCTCCCAAAAAAACTATAAAACATGCCTTAAGAAGGGAACTAAAATTTGCATTGCTGTATGTCCACAATAACTGCATGTACATTTGTTGTGTGTGAGGTAACCAGCTGTTAAGAAATTCGACCATCATTTTGTCATATTATCACAAGAATATACAGTATATAACATAAATAAGCTGGTGCTTGCTCTCCCTTGCAGAGGAAATGAGCACTAGTATATTATTATGAATAGGGGTGCGTAAATTAACGATTAATCCGTCGATTAATCGTTAATTTCTTTGATCGATCAAAATTATTTTGATCGATCAAAGTACTCACCTCTCCGCCGGCTTCCGTCGGAGATCCGGTGACGTCACGGACATCGACGTCACCGGACTCCTCCCCCCCTCCCCGAGTGGCTCTGTCGGCTAATGAAGGGAAGGGGAGAGGAGTCAGGTGATGTAGTTGTCCGTGATGGGTAACGAAGGGAAGGAGGGAGGAGTCTGTTGACGGCGATGTCCGTGACGTCACCGGACTCCTCTCCCTTCCCTTCGTTACCTCAGCTGCGAGGACCCAGCAGCAGCCACCGGATACAGAGACCCGCTTTGATGTTCCCGGCCGCTGTCCCCCCACGCTGGTATGTTTTTTTACAGCACCCTGCTCAAGCTATAGAACATGGAATAGAATATGGCTGAAACTGACTATATTCTATTCCATGTTCTATAATGTCATTGTACTACTAGGAAACTACAAGTCGGCAGTTCAGCTGCGACTTGTAGTTCCCTGTATGATAGAAGGCTGTTTTAATTACTGTCCTCATGAAAGTACTAGTAATACAAAGTCATTATAGAAACATTGAATAGAATATAGTTGAGTTCAAAAGTTACTGTACTATAATGGCATTGTATTTTCATGAGGAAAGTAATTAAAATAGCCTTCTATCATACAGGGAACTACAAGTCCCAGCATGCACTCACTGTCCCTGTACAACTCTCACATATCACGCAGGGAACTACTGCAGTGGGCTTGCATGCTGGAACTTGTAGTATCCTGGGTGATTTATGTGGGGGACGGTGTACAAAGACCATAAGGGCATGCTGGGACATGTAGTTCCCTGGGTGATGTGGAGAGGTGTACAGGGGCAATGAAGGCATGCTGGTTGTAGTTGAACTGCAAGTCCCAGCATGCCTTCATTCTTATATCCCAGGGTCGCAGGCACTGGTGTTCTGCTACTTGGGGGTTGGGGGAAGTCTCCTGGTTCATGAGTGCATCGGATGTGAAAACCAAAGAGAGAAACAAGAGGGCGCATGTATGTGCGTTATAATTAATCGAAATTAGTCGATTAATCGATTTTTAAAAAATTCGATTAATTGAACAGGAAAATTTTAATCATTACCAGCCCTAATTATGAATAATCCTAATTAAAATAACACTAGTGTTACTTTATATAACAAAAAAGGTTACACTTCCAATAAGAGAACTCCTAATGCAAATAGCTGTGTTAATCATGACAAGAGTGCTTACTGCAGTCTCTACCTAAGAAATGTTCCTCACTGGCATGTATCCCTCTAATGGATAGATGGGGAAAGAGATATTTACAGCTCTCAATCAAGAAATGACAAAAAGAAATATAAATGCCTTATGTACTATACAAATCAGGGCATTCTACCATAACAAAGTATATTGTATTAGTGATATATGAAATAAATAAATCTTAAATAACATACTCTATAATATATTGAAAAATATTATAATCACAGTTACATGATTCAAACTAACATCTCTGTATAAAAAAAGAAAAAGAAAAAAAAGAAGAAGAACCCCAAACGTTAAAACACAAAATAAACAAATATTAAGTGATTAAAAATATTGCCCATAAGGCAGTCAAAAAATAAGACAGAGAAAATTAAGAATCCCACCGTGCATGAATAACTGAGCTCGCAACAAACTAACAAAAAAAGCTAAAAAAAAAAAAAAAAGAAAAAAAAAAAGAAAAAAAAAAAAGATGGCATAATAATGTGTCATACCCCCACCTAAACTTTAGCACATTCCCTCTCTTTTTTAGCTTTTTCTCAAAAATCCATTCTCCATTTTTGGCTCTTGCACTTAACTAAACAGTTATACATTTTCCACCTGTGTGGTTCCTTCTACACCCTCCCACTCACGCAATGTGATATATATATCCCGTTAATTGTCCCTTGTACCCTACTAAACTTGCCAAACACCATATTGTACTCTAAAAGAGGTGTAAGAAACAACAATCATTCAAATTGATCCAACATAGCCAAATGCAATTTCGAGCAAGGAATGATTATCTTATATCTATGGCTGCCTATAGAAAATATTACAAATGTTAACCATTACCTGAGTGATACAGGCCCCAGTAAAGGCCACAATTACTGCAACCACATTTACAGTCAGCTGGAATTGGAGAAATTTGGAAATGCTGTCATACACATTGCGACCCCACATGACAGCCTTCACAATGCTGGTGAAATTATCATCTGTTAAGATAATGTCTGAAGCTTCCTTTGCCACATCTGTTCCAGCTATACCCTGTAAAAAATAAGTTTTTGTCAGTACCAGGATTTGAATTATATTTAAAAGGGTTAGTTATAGTCTTCTATTTAAGATAGGAAATACATATACCATTGCAAATCCCACATCAGCTTTCTTTAATGCTGGTCCATCATTTGTTCCATCTCCTGTTACAGCTACTACCTGTCTACGTTCCGTCACTGTGCTGTCAATAATGCCTAAAAAGGAACACAAAGAATATTTTTTTTAAACACGGGACACACTGGGCCAGACATATATATGTTTGGGTCTAATGACTCTCATGCACTGCAGACAACCTCCTTCAAAATACAGAATGAACATACATTTTACACTTCTTTTTTTTTTTCTTTATTGGTGAACATCACAAAATGTGTTTACATACAATGGGGGCGGCGTACTGCCCATAGCGTAATGCAAAAGAAAAGAAAACATTATCAATTCACACAGGGCTCGTACAGCGAGCATGATACTCACACATCCAAAATGTTTTTAGCGGGTAGAATCTGATCCACATGTTGATCAACATATCCATTGAGCTTGGTTTATATGCAGTGTAATACAAACATCACCAATGTCATCCTTATCCATCTTGTTACAATAACACTTCCACTGCATATATAATCACAGCAAGATAAACAGTCGTGGTGGGGTGGTGCATCTTCTACCTGTTCACTTTAAGGTATACTCCTTCAGCCGGAGAGCGCTGGGAGGTTATCCTATAACGTTTTAGCAGTAAGTAAACATATGAGGGAACTACGTCCCTAACAGAACGGGGGGGGGGGGGGGGAGGAAAGGAAGCATAGAGATAGTAACCTGGTTTCCCAGGGCAGCTGCCACGGCCTACACGATTAGGCCGCCATGAGCCATAGATAGGTATCAGAATCAGAGTATCGGAATTGGAGCCATGCTCCCCAAGTCGAGCAGAAGCGCTCTTCGGAGTTGTGTACAGTCGAGGTGAGATCTTCCATACGGTAGATGTTATTGACCCTCTCAAACCAAGTGCGCCTGGTAGGAGGTGTGGTTTGCCTCCACAGCATAGGGATACAAGCCTTGGCAGCAGAGAGCAAGTGTATAGTGAGAGATCGTTTGTATTTGGTAATGGATGTGGCAGACGTGTAGTAGGTAGGCTGCAGGATGGTCACCCAGGTCGGTCATGGTGAGTTGATTTATGGTATCCCTGACTGCATCCCAAAAGGGTCTGAGCTTGGGGCAGTACCAAAAAATGTGAGACATCGATCCTCTCCCTGATTCACACCTCCAACATGTGTAAGGCATTAGCGGGTTGATCTTATGGAGGAGAGTGGGGACCCTGTACCACCTGGACAAAATCTTGTATCCCTGTTCTTGGGTCTGGTTGGCAATGGAGGCTTTGTGTGTGGCCAACAGGGTTTTGGCCCGTTGCTCACCTGACCCAACTCCTCCTCCCATTTCTTCAAGAATGGAGGACAGTAGAGGGATATCAGCATCCCGTATAGGGTTGCGATCATATGTCTTACTTGTTGTCCTTGTTGGCACAAGGTTTTAAAAGGCGTTAGGGCCCGAGTGGGTAACGCAGAGTGGGGAATCGCCATTAGGAAGTGCCGCAATTGCATAGCTGTCCAAAGGCTAAGGGGAGGGGATACTAATGCGCTAATGGAGGATTGGGGGAGCCAGTGCCCATTCTCAAATAGATCTAATAAGCTAAACTTATTTGCAGTGTATAAGCCCTTTAAGCGCGTGCCCTCTATACCAGGACCGAAGTCCGGATCTCCCAGCACAGGGGCCATGGGGGAGGGGAATGGGGAGACGGACGTGTTTTTAAATGTCTCCCGGGCTGTTCTCAGAGTAGCTCCTATAGTGGGGTGCGATATCAGGGCCAGGGTGAGCGGTGCTGTAATCCACGGCAGGCTCTCGAGGGGCGTCCCGTGATCCTCCAGCTCCATCCGTACCCATTGTTTGCATTCTCGGTTACATGTCCAGTCCACAAACCTGGCAAGGTGGACAGCCCTGTAGTACATATGGATGTCAGGGAGACCTACCCCACTGTGTTTCTTCTGCATCGTAAGTATCAAATTCCCGATCCGGGGGTGGTGCCCTGCCCAGACAAACGTGGTGAACAGGCGACGCAGTTTATAGAAAAACCCTGGTGGTAGGTGAATGGGCAGGGCTTGCATCGTGTACAATATTTTTGGGAGGATGGACATCTTGATTGAGTTACATCTGCCAAACCAGGTCAGATATAGCCCTTTCCAGCGAGAGAGTTCCTGGCTGATGTGAAGAAGCAAGGGGGCATAGTTGGTAGTGTATAAATTATTGAGGTCTGGCGTCAGCATGGTCCCCAAATATTTAATGTGGGCTGTTGCCCAATGGAACTGGAAGCAAGCTTTAAGCAGGGAGACCGTAGTTGCTGGTAGGGTAATGGCCATCGCCGCGGATTTAGAGAGATTTGTCTTGAAATCAGAGAGGTAACCGTATAATTCGAAGGTCTGGAGCAGGTGGGGAAGAGATTGTAAGGGGTCTGGCAGAAAAAAGAGTAGGTCATCTGCAAAGGCAGCCACCTTGTGTTCTCCTGAACGTTTGTTGAAGCCCGAGATATCCAGACTAGAGCGCACGGTGCATAAGAGTGGTTCCAGGGTGAGGACAAATATGATGGGGGATAGAGGGCATCCCTGTCTGGTCCCGTTACTGAGTGAGAAGTATCCAGAGCGGGTTTCGGTAACATTTACCGCAGCAGTGGGACGAGAGTATATCGCAGTTATCCACCGATGCATGTTGGGGCCTAACCCTATGTGTTCTAGAACGGCATGCATGAAGGACCAACGAACACGGTCGAAGGCCTTCTCTGCATCTGATGACGCTGTCTCTAGCCTCTCTCGCAGGGATAAAGCCCACCTGGTCATAATGTTTGAGCATTAGTAGGACCGGTAGCAAGCGTTTGGCCAGTATCTTGGAAAACAATTTAAAATCCACATTGAGAAGGGCAATCGGGCGGTAACCTCCACACTGTGAGGGGTCTTTGTCTGGTTTCAGGATCAGAGGGATGTTAGAGCGGAGGAGGTCCTCAGGCACGACTGCGCCAGAAAGTATAGTGTTGAAGGCCGCTACAAAATGTGAGTTAAGGATCTCAGAGTAGGTTTTATAATAGGTTAGAGCAAGGCTTAAAATTCTAGACCTACTAGCCAGGCAAAAACCTTACTCTCCACCAGTTGTCCCAACACAAAGAATAATATCCCCCCCCACCCTTATTAACCCCCAACACAAAATTATAATACACTCAACCCCTTCCCCCGAGCCACCCAGATAGCCAGGCATCGATGCTGCTCACAGACATTCTTTCCTTCGCTGGAGCTCAGAACTGTCAGAGCTCCGGCCGAAGGAAGCCAGAACTGACAGGAGCTGCTCTGCTCTCAAATTTCCAGGCGAGTGGAAATTTTAAGCCCTGGGTTAGAGTATAACCGTCCGGCCCCGAGCCTTCCCTGTCTGTGCCTGCTGTAGGCCCAATGTAAGCTCTTCCACCGTGATGGGAGCCTCCATGGCCAACTGTGCCTCTGCACAGAGTACTGGCATTCCTGATCGTGAGAGGAAAGTTTGCATCTCAGTGGCCAAGCCCGGGGAGGGGGTCTCGTCCCCCAGAGGGGTGTAGATTATATAGTTCTTGGTAAAACCGCAAAAAACTCTCCGGCCATGGCCTGAGAGGTGCAAAGTTTAGCCCCTGAGGCGGAAACGATAGAAGAGATAAACTGTCTGGGTTTCTGACAGCGTAACTAAGAGACGGCTGAGTTTGTTAGAGTATCCATACATGGATCTCTTACCTCGCAGGAGGCGCCGTTTGAGCTTGGTAAAAAGGAGGTTGTTGAGGTCTTCCCTGACCTTTAACAATTCCTGGTATGTCTGTTGTGCAAGAGAGCTTTTATGCAGTGTCTCAAGCTGGTGCAGGCGCGAGAAAAGGCGGGTGCTTTCCGCTAGGTGGGAACGTTTGAGTTTCGCCTCCTGACGCATAAGGATACCCCTCATGACACATTTATGAGCTGCCCATACAGTCAGCAGAGGGGTGGAGGGGGAGGCGTTAGTGGCAAAAAAGGAGCGGATTTCTTGGGCAAGGGAAGATCTAAACCCAGGTTCCTGGAGCAGGGATTCATTCTCCATGAGGACCAAATAGATCTTGGTCCTGCCAGGTCTAGCGTGACATGGATGGGGGCGTGGTCGGAGGTGAGTATAGAAGCGATGTCTGCCGATATCAGTGTCTGGAGGTCTTTATGTTGGACAAAGAAGTAGTCTAGTCTGGAATAAGTATGGTGAACTGGGGAAAAGTAAGTGTCGTCGCGCCCAGGGTTAAAGAAGCTCCAGGTGTTTGTCAGGCACAACGAATAGAGCTCCTGTTTGAGCCTGCGTAGGCATGTGTATGATAAATGAGACATGCCCCTGGACACGTCTACTAGGGGATCTAGGGCGAAGTTAAAGTCCCCCTCAAGAACCAGAGTGCCCTCCATAAAGTCGGCCAGTATAGGCAGAACCGTGGATAGGAAGGATACCTGTTCTGTGTTGGGCACATTTTACACTTCTAGTGTACTTGGGGTCAGTTGAGAAGTTGACCAACACATAATACATATGCCAAATGTGAAGATTGCAAATCCTCATCCCTTCCTACTACACACAAAAAAAAACTGTTGCAGGGGTGCAAAACATTCCCCTCTCAATACACATGTAGAGAAAGTGGAAGAAATTTTATTACTTCCTGTTAGTGGGAATCACATATGCTTCATTTATTTATACACAGCAATGCATAATAAACAGTGTCATCAACCAGGAAATATTACCTTTTACTAATGTATGTTTGTCAGTAGGGGATGATCTAGCCAGCACCCGGAGTCTTGGCCACACTTGGTCCAACTTCTCTTGTTCTACCTAAGAACAATATTACAGACAGTTAGCACTTAGTGACACTGTTAACAAACACCAACTATGGTTCTTTTCAACACAGACCTGGAATCATGTTGCAAGAGATACAATGTTTTAATTTACACACTATGGATTTGATTTCTCAAAGGCAAATTGGTTGTTTCCTTTTCAGGGGAATTTTCCCTTAGTTTAGTGAATGAGGTAAAGCTTTGCTTACTTCCATCATCCAATCACGTGCAAGTGAAAAAAAAAAGGTTTGTTTTTTTCTTCTTTAATTTCCTCGCTCGTGATTGGGTATTCTTGCAAAGTGAATTTTCACTGCATTCAGCGAAGAGAACTTTTTTTTGCAAAGTTTACGACCTACTTGGGTTGTTTCTAATATACAGTACTATGCAAAAGTTTTGGGCAGGTGTAAAAAATGATGTAAAGTAAGAATGCTTTGAGAAATGAAAGTGTTAATAGTTTATTCTTATCAATGAACAAAATGGAAAGTACATAAACAGAAGAAGAATCCAAATAAAAATTTTGTGTGCATCAATTCTTCTACGTAGAATAGCACACAGTGTTTGAAGGAAATCGGCAGGTAGGTTGTTCAAAACATCTTGGAGAACTAACCACAGATCTTCTGTGGATGTAGGCTGCCTGAAATACTTCTGTCTCTTCATGTAATCCCAGACTGACTCGATGATGTTGAGATCGGGGCTCTGTGGGGGCCAAACCATCACTTCCAGGACTCCTTGTTCTTCTTTATGCTGAAGATAGTTCTTAATGACATTGTTTAACGATAAAACGGGGAAGGGAAGGTATATGCACAATATCTCCAATATAATCGATGTGAATGGGGGTCCCCTAATGACATTGGCTGTATGTTTGGGGTCGTTGTCCTACTGCAGAATAAATTTGGGCCAATCACAGGCCTCCCTGATGGTATGGCATGATGCATAAAAAGGGTTTGAAAAATTTTAGGGTGTCTCACCAGTCAGTCAAAAATTTCACCAGTCAGTATGACTGGACTATAGCCTTGCAATTTATGTTAACAAAAATCGCCAAAAACGACCACACCGAAAATTGGCCATAGGTGACGCTTTAAACACTTTTACTGCTCATCAGTTTAGAGTTATCAGTGATTAATGGCCCTAAAATTCTCCGATGTTTGCGCTGATATGTAACATGTGCGGCACACGAAGCATGCTTGCGTGTGTATGTTGGGGGACTTTAAAAAAATTAGTTTTTTTATGCTTCTTTAATTTTTTTTTTACACTTAATTTTATTGCTATCACAATGGGGGGATAAAAAGCCCCCTATGTGATAGCTAATTTACATGACAGGTCTTTTTTATGGAGACATCAGGGGTCTCCAAGACCCCTAATGTCACCTAGGGACCCCCAGAGAAGCTGACGAAGCAGAGATCTGCTTCACCAGCTTCTCACCAGCTTCTGTAGCTAGGAATGACAGCTGAATGCGGAAGTGATGTAATATACTTCACTTCCTGCATTCAGGGACTGGAGGGGAGATAAGAGGGAGATCGTATACTGATCTCCCGTCACAGAGCAGCTGGGCCGGTCCCGGCCACACCGGGCCCAGCGGACCTTGGGACTGGCAACGGCAGCGAAAGCTGCTGCTAATACAAGCGATCAGGCTTTTCTAGAGACGCCGAATCGCTTGAATGTAATGCTCCCAGCCAGCCGTTTAATTACAACGGCTGGCTGGGAAGCTACTCTTCCGGCATCCTCTCATCACGGACGAGAGGACGAACAGATTTTTCAAGCCCTGTGCATAAATATTTGCTAGTATTTCTCAGCATTGAGGACACCATTGATCCTGACCAAATCGCCATCTCTATTTGCAGAAATGCAGCCCCAGACCTGCAAGGAACCTCCACCATGCTTCACTGTTGCTGCAGACACTCATTATGGAACCGCTCTCCAGCCCTTCCATGAAAAAACTGCCTACCGCTACAGATAAATATTTGAAATTTGGACTCATCAGTTTAGAGCACCTGTTGCCATTTTTCTGCACCCCAGTTCCTATGTTGTCGTGCATAGTTGAGTCACTTAGCCCATATCGGAGGTATAGCTTTTTAACCGCAATTCTTCCATGAAGACCACTTCTGTCCAGATTTCAACCGGACAGTAGATGGTGTCTTTCATCGGTTGCATTAAGTTTCTTGGCCGACCACTGCATCTACAGTCCTCAACGTTGCACGTTTCTTTTTGCTTCTTCAAAAGAGCTTGAACAGCATATCTTGAAATCCCAGTCTGCTTTGAAATCTTTGCCTGTGAGAGACCTTGCTGATTCAGAATAACTACCTTGTGTCTTGTTGCTGTGCTCAATCTTGCTATGGTGTATCTTGCTATCACCTTAGTAGCAGAGTTTGGCAGTTTCTCACCCGGCTTTAAGCCTCCTACACAGCTGTTTCTGTTTCAGGCAATGACTTAAGGTGCCCATACACTTTACAACCCTCGCAAGACTTTTGTCTTGCGAGGGTTGTAAAGTACTTAAAAAAAACGTACGATCTGCCCATCTTGGACAGGCAGATCGTACTTGCGATCATCGCAAGACCGCCCCCCTGAGGGTATATATATATATAATATATATAATTGGTATAATACACCTGACTCTAATCTTACAAAATCCCTGACTTTGTGTAAGTGTAAGAATTGATGCTGGTTTGAATCCAAAAGGGTAGTCAAACCAAATATAGATTTTTCTTCTGTTCACTCACTCAGCATTTTGTAAATCGATAAAAATAAATAAAAATATATATTTTTGAAATCATTCTTACTTTGCAGCATGTTTTCATATCTGCCTAAAACTTTTGCACAGTACGGTATATTATGAGAAACTTGCTTTGTTAGAACAGTACTGTCAGAGGTACTAGTTTGTTTTACACCAGGGGTGCCCACAATTTTTCGTCTGGAGATCTACTTTTCAAATGACGAGCTCAATGAGATCTACCAATGAAAAAACACCTGCGTTCAGGGGCATGGCGGTGCATTGAAGTCAATGGCACGGCAGCCACGCCCCCTGCCCGCAGAGCGATCGCATGCACCCAGAACACAGGCACATTAGTGCCTGCATTCAGGTCTAGTGCGATCTGCAAAAATGCTTCAAGCCGGCTTGCGTTTCTGTGCATTCTAGAGGCCGAACACTGTGGAACGCAGACTTTGTGGTGCGAACTGGCCCTCTCTCTTGGCCGTCTCTTCTCTCTCTTCTCTCTCCTTCCCGTCTGCGGCGTCTGACACATCCAGCCGCACTAGCACCGCGGGAGCTCAGGTCAGTGAGCTGATCGCGATCTACCAGTGTTTGCTTTTCGATCAACTGGTAGATCGCGATCTACCTAATGGGCACCCCTGTTTTACACCATTAATTTAGATCAATAACAGTTATCATTGCTCTGTCTGAGCTGACCTCATGCATGTGCAACATATGCAGTAGCACAGGGAACAATACCATTATAAGAGATGGGAATACTGCTAAAGTATCTTCTAAAACTGTCTGAACAGCTGCTACATCTAGCCTCTGATATATGCTACTTCTTAGCCTACGACGGAGCTAGACATACAAACCTTAGTTTATAACCAAAAATTGGCTGAGATTGGAATAAGCAGTTACATTAATAAGGCCACATTAGAGGCATCCTGGCTGAAAAAGCATATATGTATACGGGTAGAGAACAGCAAGAGATAGTCAAGTGTGTAAACAGTAAGATACGCCCACAAGAGTAGTTGCTATGAGTAGAAAATGTGCTTTTGAAATCTAGTCTCAAAAGATTTTGAGTGAGAGTTGGCGATGCCACTACTGTGCTGCTTACTGCAGTTCTCAGACAAACTGGGATCATATGCAAATATTAAAGAGTGGGCCTTATATCTTTAAATGCGGTTACGGCAAAACATCGGTTGGATTTTACAAGGTGCAATAAACACTTCTAAGCCTATTATCCTGTATATACTAGGCATATAACAAACTCTCTTAAAATAGTAGTAAAATACCTCCAGTAATCATTAGAAAACATATACATATACTATATATAGATAGATATCTATATATATCTATATATCTAAGGCCGGGACCGGCACGGCTCTGTGACAGGAGATCAAAGGGAGTTCAGTACACGAACTCCCTTTGATCTCCTCTCAGTCCCCGAATGCAGGAAGTGATGTATATTACATCACTTCCTGCATTCAGTGTCACTCTCCAGCTAGAGAAGCTGATGAAGCCGATCTCTGCCTCATCAGCTTCTCTGGGGGTCCCTAGGTGACTTTAGGGTCTTGGAGACCCCTGATGTCTCCATTAAGAGGACCTGTCATGTAAATTAGCTATCCCATAGGGGGCTTCTTAGCCCCCCATGTAATAGCAATAAAGTTGTGTTAAAAAAAAAGTAATATAAAAATTAAAGAATCATAAATCATAAATAAAATAAAGAATCATAAATAAAGAAGCAGGCTGGATAGTCTCATCAGAACTGGCTTTGTGGTATTCCCACAGTGCATCACCCACTACCCTCAGGCGGGAGGACACTAGTTTGTGTCCTCCCTTTACCCTAGGGAGAACTATGGGGAAAAGCCCTAACCCCATAGTTCTACTTTAACCCTATTGGCATTACATGGGGACTAACAAGCCCCCTATATGACAGCAGACACACAGTTACAAGTCCTCTTTGTGGAGACATCCAGGGTCTATTAGACCCCTAATGTCACCTAGGGACCCCAAAGAAACTGATGAAGCAGAGATCTGATTCAGCAGCTTCTTCTCCAGCTGGTTAGGCACCTTATATGAGGATGTCTGGGTGAAGAAAGTTGCCCGCAGCGGAAATCGTTTGGAATTCAACCGTTCCCCACCCAGAAGTATTTTTGTGGAGACTGCTTTGCCCGTTCAGTGAGAGAAGTGTCATATCTTAAATAGAAGAATTACTGGACTCAAGAGCAGTTACTCTCCCATATTCCTAGTTCGCAAGTCATCAGTGAGTTCTCGGCCGCTTCGGAACCTGAAGCGCCTCAATACTTTCTTGAGTGTTGCATTCTCGGATGGTCTCTCTACAGATAGTGATATCAGCAGTCCAAGAACGCGACAGGCTACTTTCCATAGATCTTGCAGATGCATATCTGCACATACCGGTAGCCAAAGATCACCAAAAATAGTTGGCATGCGGTGCGGGGACTACGTCTTCAGTTCAAATGTCTCCCATTTGGCCTAGCCCTGTCCCCTATGACCTTCACAAAGGTGTTGGTGTCACTGGTTGCTTATCTAAGACTTCAAGGAGTTCGTCTTCACCATTATCTGGATGATCTTCTTGTTCTTGCACCATCAAGAAACACCTTTTCTCTCCACGGGGTCAGAGTGTTAAAAACGCTAGAACGTTTTGGCTGGCTGATCAATTATCAAAAGAGCCTGTTAAGGCCGACCCCGGTCCTTCCTTACCTGGGAGTTATTTTCAACACTCGAGAAAACAGGATTTTGTTAACAAGATCATGCACATTGAAAGATTGGCTCATCGGATCATGCAGAAGAAATTTGCTGGAGGAAAGATGTTGCATGAGTTTTCTGGGTACACTGAATTCTACCATCCTGGTGGTTCTTCCAGGGAGAACCTCTCCCTGGGCAGGTGCCTCAACCCTGGAGACTGTTTCATGGTTACTTCAGATGCCAGTATCCAGGGTTAGGGGGTGCACTGTCAGGGGATGCAGGTGCAAGAGCGTAGGAATTGGATTCCCTTGAGAGCATCCAATCATTAAGAGTTGTTGGCAGCCTTCAAGGCGCTGAAGTTTTTCTGGTCCCTCATCTCGGGCCAACGAGTGAAGATGCTTCTGGACAACAGAACAGTAAAAGCTAATTTAGCCAGTCAAGGGGGCACAAGAAGTATTTTCCTTCTTCAAATTGCAAAATTGATTTTTCAGTGGGCGCAGGTCAACCTTCTGGACTTGACAGCAGCATATCTACCAGGGGCCCAGAATTCCTTGGCAGACTCACTGAGCCGTCATTTTGTCAGTCATGGGGAATGGAAGCATAGTATCTATCTTTTTGCCGTTTGGGGCAATCCCGAAGTAGACCTGATGGCGACCTCATGGAATGCTCAGTGTCAAAGTTTCTTCTCTTTTCTTCTGTTTTTACAACTGTGGCAGAAGAGGTTGCCCTGGACATATGTGCGAAGTTTTGAATTATTCTGATATATGGTTTCAGAGATTAAGTTGTTTGCAGAATATTGCACAATCTAATATGGCTGCCAAACCATGTGACCAATAGACTAATAAATGAACACATGTGACACTAGAGCACAGCATAACCTCACACAGCAATTTGTACATCTGTAGCTTTAGCGGTTCTGGAGAAGCAGGTTTCTGAATAACTCACAAACATTGTGGCAAAAAAACAAGATGGCTGCCACATCATGTGACCTATGGCTTTTATAATGCAACCAAGCTCTGCAGAGCATAGGGCTCTACCATTGTGCAAAGTTTCATGAGTTTTTGACTAAGGTTGCACTTACAGGCATTTAAAAAAAGCGGCAGAATAATAATAAAAATAATAACAATCAGAACAAAAACAATAGGTGTTCTTGCAACCTCCTTGCTTGGCCACCTAATAATCAGAACAAAAACAATAGGTGTCCTTGCAACTTCGTTGCTTGGCCACCTAAGAATAATCCTAACAAAAACAATAGGTGTCCTTGCAACTGCATTGCTTGGCCAACTAATAATATTCAGAACGAAAACGATAGGTGCTCTTGAAACTTCGTTGCTTGGCCACCAAATAATTAGAATAAAAAGGTGTCCATGCAACTTCGTTGCTTGGCCAACTCATAATAATCAGAACGAAAACAATAGGTGTCTTTGCAACTTAGTTTCTTGGTCACATAATAATAATAATAATAATCTTAACAAAAGCAATAGGTGTCCTGCAACTTCCTTACTTGGCCACCTAATATTAAATTTCAGGTCTTAGTTTAAATTTACAACTGAAATACAAAGATTATTAGAAATTACACAGAGTTCCATATATGCACATATTTTCTTGCTCACCTCTCCTTTTTCATTTCGAATTAATGTGTTAAACTCTTTGCCTTCAAGGCACAAGAAGTCTTCACCAGGTTGAAGGATGCTACACTTTGTTGCAATGGCACGAGCTGTATTTATGTTGTCACCAGTTACCATGCGTACTGTGATCCCTGCTCGCTGGCACTTCAGGATAGCCTCAGGAACCTAAAAGAAAAATTAAACAGTGGGCCAAATATGAAAGAGGGAATACTCGGCACTGGAGCTGAGAAATAACATTCTGTTTGCAATAAGTAAAACAGAAAGTATGTTAAGCTTATAGTGAACATATGTTGGAAGAGAGAGAACTAATTAGATTCTAGAAAGAAAGGTTTACCTCTGGCCGAACAGGGTCTTCAATGCCCACCACAGCAATACAAGTAAGGTTAGACAAAATGTCAGATTCATTATCCCATTCAGGTTCTGTCCCGGCTGGGAATTCACAATATGCTAAGCAAATTGTCCGCAGTCCTTCACATGCCATTGGTTCGATCACTTTCTTTACCATCTCATCACGATCTCTAGGTTTAAATGGGCACACCTCCCCTTCGTGATCCAAAATCTTTGTACATCTGTGGCACAAAAAAAAAAACAAGAAGGTAATTGGTATATTTTTTAGGCGGGATGCAGAACTTTGCAGTTCGTTATCACATACATGGTTTACATGTTGTGCATTAATGACTGTTGGAATAAGGCAGCCAATTCATTTTACATGAATAAAGAAGCTAATTAGAGCACTGAAAAATGCCAGTCTGCAACTGACTTCTGCTTCTTCACTGTGTGAGACAAAGTCACTGAATGGCTTCTCAGGCAGAGAGAGTCAGTCAATCAGCTAATTCAGCATTCTAACAGTTTGTTTCTTGCAACAAAGCCAAGCAACTTGAAACAGTCGACCTAATGTAAATATTTGGCTTTGGGTTATGGTAAATTACACGGTACATTTAGCCAACTATTGTTAAATTAGTCCAGAGAATACCTACCTATGCAAAATTCAAAACACAAAGCTAGATAGGCCACATCTATGTAAACATTTACACAATATAGAAACCCTCAGAACCACCTACCCCTGCAATTATTTTCCTCGAATCGACGCCAGGTGTTTTTCCCCCTTACTACAACCAACACTGGGCATTTTTATTTACCACTGCCAGGACATTTTTGGCTCCCACTAATGCCATACAATTTTTCCTCCTGATGAACAAAAAAGGCATTTCTTTTCCTTACCCTGACCCACCAGGCTTTATTTCTTCACACTGACCACAGGCATGTCTCCTCCCACTGACCTCCAAGGTCAAGCAATGTTTTCTCTTACTGACACCAGGCATTTGTCTCTCCCACTGTCCACAGACATTGGGTAGTTTTTTTTCCTGATGACCACAGACTTGCCCCTACAGACATTGGGCATTTTTTCCTCTTACCGACACACACACTTTCAGCATCAGGGCAGACACACACGCAGTGTCAGGGAAGACACTCATCAAACAGAGAACATAAAAAAATTAAGCTGTATTAAAATAGATTAAAAAAGCTCACTCACTTGTATTTGTGCACTAATACCGGTGTACATGGTATTGCATTGAATGGCGAAGTTCAGATGACGTCACCACTGAACGTGAAGCAAGGAGATCTGTAAGATATGGGAGTGCTCTCTAGTTGAATAATTAATCCAATTTGGACACGTCCATTTAACACAATGCTGTGTGAGCAGGTATTAGCACACAAATACATGTGAGTGACCATTTTTTAAATCTATTTTAATTAGACTTAAATTTTATATGAAAATCACTATGGGATGTTCCTAATGATTGATGTAGCTGAAATAGAGGCAGTACCAAAGTTTTCCCCGCTGTAGAGAAACAAGCGTGTAGAGACCGGAGTTTAATTACTGGATCTAACTATTGAGGTGAGAGGTTATATAAATCATGCACATCATAGATAAGGATCATGGGATACCAAACCCTTGCACAATTATTAGAAAAGTCTAGAAAGTCCAATTATAAAAAGATGTTTTAGGTGCCTGAGTATTCTGAGAATGTTTAGATTACTTCATCAATGTGGGATAAAAGCCTTGTAGTTTATTCATAATTAACAAAATATTAAAATCATACCCAATGTTAAAAAACAATGTCACACGGTTACAGTCATGATAATTATGGTCACTGAATATTAATATTGGTTTGCACAATTCACATCGCGCCAAATCCCTACAGATCCAAAATAAATACAAAGATTGTATAGCTGGGATATCCCCATATCGTATACAGTATGCAAAGTGAAAAAGCGTATCTACTGAAGACCAGGATATGTTTGGCATGAGGTCATGACGTGATTCGCAGACTCAAATCTGCTTCCTGAGATTCGATCGTGCAGTCAGTGTGTCTCATTTCTGTAAACAAATACAAGGTATTTACAAATAAATACTAATATATTTTGTATAACAGTGAAATGTGTTCATATACATACATCTGTGACCAAGGGACAACATACTGTACATGTGTAACCCCTATGGAGTTGACAAAAACTAAATGTATTCTGCCTGTGAAGGATAAATTGTGTTGTGCAGCATGTGAGGGCCTTGTGGGTATGTTAGTGCAGAGCCATGGATAGACTGAATCAAATTGAACAGAATAAACTACAAGTCCCAGGAAGCTTTGGGGATCTGCAGGAGGAGTGAGCTAAGCGCACTCAAACCGCAGAGAGGCTGCAGAGCAACCGGATACACCGCTCTGAGCTGCTGGACATTACTACAGGGAGAGGCATAGACCCTGTGGTGAACCGCACTGATTTCTGTGGATCCATCCCGTGAGAGAACTGACTGATCCAGTGCAGGGGGGACACCACGGCCTGGCCGAACTAATGGTTCCTGGCACCACCATATCAGCTGGGACATCGCCATCCTCATGCTGCAGAACAAATCCAGAGTAGACTGCATGGCTGCTACAGAAGACAGACCTGCCATCCCTGTGTTTCAGACTACTGCAGGGATCAAGGGAAGTCGGCTGGGGAAGGTGGGGACACCCCCTTTTCGCTGACCAACGCTGGAGATGCTATTCAAGTCACCTTTGAGTCCTTTGGCCACCTGCATTTATTAAAGTTGATTGCATCTGTGGCACAGTATGGGCCCCAACATTGGCTAGCCTAAACTACTACTACTGGCAAGTATTGCTGGGAGCTGGGGGACATTTCGGACTAAGCCATTTAGTAACCCAGTATCTAGAGTCAGTGGGAATCTATTCAGATAGCTCAGCACTGTAATTTGCATTAGACAGCTGTGGCTGTAGAGTGTCTGACACCGAAAGAGTGTTTGTTACATGCTGTTTATCTTTGCTGCTGTTCTTTATTCCCTTTGTTGGTCAAATACAGAGCATTGTTTAGTAAAGCTTTTACAAAACCCCACAAGGTGTGTTGGTGTGCTGTGGATCCTGTCTATGTGAGTTTCTCTGGTTTGGGACAGAAGAACCTACTTATTCCAGTGTCTCCTTCAGGGGTGAGCTCTACAAATGCATCACTACTTCCATTATCCTGCATGAATGGATCCAAACGGCTTCAGGAGCCGCGAAATGACAGCACAGGGACCGGAAGTAATGCAGTCCGTATCGCTCCCGGTCCCATATAACAGGGAGGAGAAAGGCGAATGTATATTCACTGCTCTACCGCTGGCGCCGGAAATGTTAGTCCTGGGCCTGCAGGAGGGGCAGCGGAGCCCGAGAAACACGGAGGGGGTGTCAGGCAGGGGGGAGGGTACTTTACCATCCCATAGAAGTGATTTGACGGCAGCTGAGCCACCAGAATTGTTTGTATTGTAAAGCGGGAAGCTGATATTGGCGGTTTGTTCATGGCTTTGAGTTGTGAGCATGACCCACTAGAATGGAGTCTGGATCCAAAACAATAAACTGGCAACACTGCGGAGCATAAACATGGAAAAGAGTCTGGATCTGACTCATCAGGTTCTGGTAGAGGGTGGGATAGAGGAGGGGGGTATGGAGGAGCAGGATTCCAAGGTGTGTAACTGGGTTACCATTAGAAGGCAGGGTAGAGTGCAAGAGAGGTTAAACCCTGAATTGATAAACCCCAATAAATATGCCAGGTTGCAGGACATTGAGGATATTAGTTCAGGGGTGGCATTGCTGGAGTGAGACGCTTACCCTATACGAGGGGGGAGTGACTGCTCCAGTAAGGATGGGAGCAGGATGGATGGACATAAGAGACAGATATTGGTGTTGGGGGACTCTATTATCAGATGCACTGACAGGGTAATCTGTCATCAGGACCGTGAGCGTTGAACAGTCTGTTGCTTACCGGGGGCCGTGTTTGACACATTGTGGAACGTTCGGACAGGTAATCGGATGGGGCTGGTCATCGGCACCAATTACAAAACTGGAGGCAGATGGAGTGTCCTAAAAAATGAGTTGAAAGACTTAGGTGCTAGGTTAAAGAAATGGACCTCCACGCTGGTATTTTCTGAAATACTACCGGTCCCAAGAGCCACTCCAGAGAGGCAGAGGGAGTTGAGAGAACTGAACAAGTGGCTGTGGAACTGGTGTGGGAAAGAGGGCTTTGGTTTCATGGAGATCTGTGCTGACTTCTCAGTCGGTTACCGGCTCTATAGCAGAGATGGGCTGCATCTTAATGGGGAAGGTGCAGCACTTTTGGGGGAGAAAATGGTTAAAGGACTGGAGGAGCATTTAAGCTAAAACATGCGGGAGTTAATAAAAATTGTGAAAATAAACAGAGAGCAAGTAAATACATGGGCATTTAATATAGAGGGCTGCAATACAAGGGTGGACAGAGGGCTCACTCCAGTCAATCTAATTAGTAATGTATCAACAGTACCAAGTTCAGATAAAGAATTTAGTTGGGATTCAGGAATGAGCAATAATGAAACTCAAATCACTAGCACCAAACTATAATGTATGTACACGAAAGCTAGAAGCCTATCAACAAATTACAGAAGCTTGAACTTATGCTACTTCAAAAGAACTTTGATATAGTGGGAATAACAGAAACTTGTCTAGACAGCTCACATGACTGGGCAACTAATGTACAAGAGTACAACCTGTTCAGGAGGCTCAGGGTTGGCAGAAGGGGGGAGGGGTAGGCTTTTTTTTTTTAAAACAATCTAACTGTGCACATACAAGATGACCTCACAACAGAGTTGTGATGGTGTTGAGTCTTTGTGGCTAGAACTAGATAAGACTATATCTAGTAGTAAACTTATTGTGCGTGTGTGTTATAAACCCCTGAACATAAGGGAAGAGGAGGAGGCTCACCTGCATTCCCAAATAGAAATAGCTGGAAAGCAGAGAAATGTTGTTATAATGGGTGACTTTAATTATCCGGACATTGATTGGGCAAATGGAACCGCTCATTCTATAAAGGCTGGCTGTATTCTAAACCTGTTGCGGGACAATTTCATGGATCAGATGGTTGAGGTCCCAACCAGGAAGAATGCAATTCTAGATCTATTAATCACAAATAATGTGGACCGAGTTGCAGACATAGCAATTAGGGATACACTGGGTAAAAGAGATCACAGGGAGATTAGTTTTAATGTTGGGTACAGAAAAGAGAA